ACTTGTCAAACCTACTTCAAAATCTGTCAACAGCTTCTGACGTCCTGTCATGTGTCTTGAACACCCGCTATCCAAATACCAGACACCATCTCCACTCGTTTGTTCAGACGTACATGCAACATTGCATGACACATCGGATTTACGAATCCACCTATGATTCTTCGAAGGATGAGACATATAAGAGTGATTCAAGTTCGAATGAACGTACCAACTAGACTTCCTTTTCTGTCGTAGGTGATAACAATTCCTTCGAATATGTCCTCTCTTCCCAAAGTAATAGCAGCTTCTATGCTCTTTTTGCTTTTGAGAGGTTTGCAGATCCATTTTAACTCTTGGAGTATTTCTGACAGCGCCAAAAGTACTTCGTACTAAGTCAGGTACTTGTCGTTCAAGATTTCCTCCAGACACAAATGTTGGGTGATATTGCTCCTTTCCCGCATATCCAAGCCCCGATTGATCTCGTGCACTCCTTCCCTGTCCAAGTAGATGATCCAACTTACCAGTTCTACTTCCAAGAAGATGAAGATTTTTCTGGGTCTCTTCAATTTGACATCTCATGAGCGACGCTTCTTCTTCTTTTTGGGATAATTGATGTTGAGTAGATGTCAGTTGGATCTGAGTATTTTTGAGTTCCTTCTCCAGCCGCTTCTTCTCATCCAACAGATATCTATTCATTCGAACGAGTTTGGTCATCTCGTTGAACAAGTCATCCTCAGTTACCTCTTCATCACTTGAATCATCTTCCAAAGTTTCTTCTCCTTCTTCAATGATTCCAAAGAATGCAATAGAGTTAGAAACTTCTTCATCGTCACTGTTTAACTCGGTTTCCTCCTTCTCTTGAGTGGTATATGATTTTCCCTTCTTCTGGCCATATTTCATCCTTATATGCCCAAATCCCTTGCATGAGCAGGTCACTGATCGTAGGAAATTTTTCCTCTCATATCGGTGTACGATTCAGCTTCATACGATGGATGGATACAAAGAGATGCAAGCTTTTGGAAGACATGCAATGTTCGACTCAACAAACTATGAATGCAAGGGATTTGGGCATATAAGGATGAAATATGGCCAGAAGAAGGGAAAATCATATACCACTCATGTATGGGAAACACGGGTGAGTGATACTTGAGATAGAGTGAAGTGTATCTGAGGGGGAGCCTTCAAATAACAGGCGAACCGCTCAAAGGGCCTAGACGAGTCTAGG